AGGGTGGCGCTGAAAGCTGCGTGGCTTCTTTCCGAGGGGGGACAACGTTGTGAAGGGCCTGTGGGAGGCTGCAGGTCTGTAAACACACTGCGAACCGTGGAGGCGTCCCCTGGAAGGGCAGGAATCCTACATGTGAGTCATGCCTCAAATAGAGCTGTTTTTTCAAACAGACCTGGTTCCCGTCTCCCCCGAGGCTTCAGGGACTCCTAGTGCTTGTCCTTCTCACAAATTCTCACCCCAAAATCACACGGCGAACGCCTCAAATAAATCATTAGGGCTGTTCTCTTTGCAGCAAGCCAGCAGTCGGAGAAATCCATGCTTGAAACTGATCCAAACGGATCAGGGGCCAAGGGCTGGCGGGTTGATCTTCACCGCAGCTGGTCCCTCAAAATGTTCTTTGCGGCCAGCAGCGAGCAGTTTGCGTCTGCCTGTGCCGTCTGCCGAGACTGTCCCCTCTGGGGCTCCCATGGGGGCTGCGGGCTGGATGGGGCCGGGAGGGAGGGGACGGACAGCTGGGAGGACGACGCCCACCCTCCACAGGGACAGGAGACGGGCGTTGGCTTGGGCAGAGCTTCGGTGACCTGCTCAGGTTTTCTTCCCCAAACCAGGCCCCAGCTGCGTTGCAGCCCTCATGCCACAAAGCCTTCTCCTCTGCAGCAGGGACATCCCCTCCTGCCGGGCTCTCAGGCCTCAGGCAGCCTGGACGAAGCTCTGCACCAGCTCCCGGCTCCCACAGAGAGGCCTGAAGCCTGGGGCAGCGTCCACTGAGCTTCCTGGACCCGTGTCCCCAGCCATGCTGACCACACTCACTGCACCCCTCACAGGCCTCCCCTCCCCCAGGCCCTCGGCCCCCACAGGCCTCCGCCTCCCTGTCCTGCTGCCCTCTCCCCTCCCAGGGTCACCCCACTGCTACCTCATCTCCCCATCCTGGTACCCCTCTGCCCTCCAAGGGTCATCCCAGCCACCCCCTCATCTCTCAGGCCTTGTCCCTGCCCAGCAGCAAGTTGGGCACTGGGTCCACTCCTCGGCCTCCTGACTCCCTTGGGACGATCTCTCTCACCTCTCCAGCCCCTGCAGCCTCCCTCCCCAGCCCCTCCCGGCCTCCCTCCCCAACCCCTCCCGGCCTCCCTCCCCAGCCCCTCCCGGCCTCCCTCCCCAGCCCCTCCAGCCTCTCCCCCGATCCTCTCCAGCCTCCCTCCCCAGCCCCGGCAGCTGTGGACACTGACCTGGGTTTGGGGCTCCTAGGACAAGCCCCTGAGGCTCCAGGCCTTCGGCCCCACCCCCCAGCCACACCCAGGAAGGAAGGAAGCCCCCACTGCTCCTCCCTCTTGAGGGGTCAGCGATGCCTGCCCTCCGGCCTCCCTTGGCGGGTGGGGAACTGGCCGCCCTGGGCGAGGCCTGAGGGCCTCACCCGCCTCCCTTTGCGGATCTGTCTGGGGCTAAAAATAACTCTGCTGGGGCAGAGGCTGGCTGGTGAGGCCGCCTCCGCAGGGTGGGGGTGTGGAATGGGAGACAGCCTGGGACAGCCTCAGTGGGAGCCAAGGGGCAGTGGCCCCAAAAGCCGAGCAGGAGGGCCGCTGACCTGACCCCCCACTGCAGAGGCTGGGCAGGGACAGGAAGTATGTCTGGGGTGAGGGCGGTGGGCCCCCCAGTGGCAGCCCCCACCTCCTCTTCCAGCCCGGTATTGATCCGCTTGAAGCTCCTTGGGGCACAAAGGAGCTTAACCCTCCTGAGCAGACGATGGCTGCCCTCAGGCCAGGGCAGGACCCTTTCCCATCCTGGGGGTGGGGCTGGGGAAGCAGGGTGCAGGGAACCCAGCGGGAGAACCCGGCCCCGCAGAGGCCCTCCCTCAGTGTCCACAGGGAGAAGCCCGTGACCCCAGGCAGCTGTTGGCACCTCGGACCTAGGGCAGGAAAGGGAGGGAGCCCCCGGCCACAGGAAGCCACGGAAGGGTGAGCTGGGCACAGAGCTTCCAGGGTGGCACAAGGCCAGGTCTGCAGAGCAAACATCTGTTGATGCCCAGACAACTCACCGGGAAGTAATGTGCAAAAGGCCGCAGGGTGGGAGAATGCTGGAGATTCTCATTCCTTTTTTTCGGCCTTTCTTTATTTTGCTGATTTTCTACCATCAACAGGGGTCTATTTTATAATCAAATAAACAAAAAAACCCTTCAGAAAAGGGACGCGCTGGCTGGGCTCCTGGCCACGGTGCCATGCCAGGCAGGATTTGGAAGGGTCCCGGGCTTCGGGGTCCGGGACCAGCTGGGGCCCCTCAGGCCTCGGCCTCCCTAGCTGTAATGCAAGGTGCACACCCCCAGTGAGGGCTCCTCACCTGCTCGTGCCCCTCCCCCTCCTCCCTGCCTCTCCCAAGCCATCCACCCCCACCCACCAGGGCCAGGGCTGTGGCGCCTGCACTGCGGAGCTGCCCGCCCAGCCAGCCCCACACAGCCAGGCCACAGAGCTGGAGCCCAGGGCAACCCAGGCTCGGCCCCCAGAAGGCAAGCGGCGACTCCAGCCCAGGAGCCCACACAGGCCTCGGCTCCTTCCCGGCCCACTCCAGGCTCCCCAGAGGAGGTGGGTGGGCGAGGGGTTGTGGGCAGGGCTCTGGGAAATGGGACCAGCAGAAACGGGCCACCTGGGGGAGCACCTGCAGCAAGAGGAGGAAGAGGAAGAGGGCCAGAGGGCAGCGCCAAGGCCACGCCAGCCCCTGCTGCCACCCCAGCTCTGCCGCCCCAGGCCACGCCAGCCCCTGCTGCCACCCCGGCTCTGCCGCCCAAGGCCACGCCAGCCTCTGCTGCCACCCCGGCTCTGCCGCCCCAGGCCACGCCAGCCCCTGCTGCCACCCCGGCTCTGCCGCCCCAGGCCACGCCAGCCCCTGCTGCCACCCCGGCTCTGCCGCCCCAGGCCATGCCAGCCCCTGCAGCCACCCTGGCTCTGCCGCCTCAGGCCACGCCAGCCCCTGCTGCCACCCCGGCTCTGCCGCCCCAGCCCATGCCAGCCCCTGCAGCCACCCTGGCTCTGCTGCCTCAGGCCACGCCAGCCCCTGCTGCCTAGCTCTGTCTAGAGTGGGTTGGAAGTGTGACCTTCGGAGGTAGGGATTGGGGCTCAGTCTGGGACCAGTGAGTGACAGAAAACAGACCATGGTCCCCCTACCTGCCACAGTCCCCCCATCTTCCACCCCGAGTTCCCCCACCAGTCACCCCGAGTCCCGCCATGCGGCCTGCCCCATATACAACACAATGACAGCTGGCATCGGCAGAGGAGGGCCGGCGGCCCTGGCGGAGACGAGGTACTGGTGACCCTGCGGAGCTCATCAATCCAGCAGTGAGCTCCTGCTCTTGGAGGTGTCATCCCGGGCCCCCAGCACAGCAGCTACTGGGGCCACACACGTAACCCACCCCAAAGCCCCTTTGAAGGTGGAAGGGACAGAGCTCTCTCCATGACAAACCCTGGGTAAACAGCCAGGGGTGGCGCGGCCTGGCTCTGTTCTGAGCGAGGAGGTTTGTCGGGTGGGATCCTTGGGAGGCCAGACCCAGAGCAAGGTAGACCCAAGCAGCGGAGGCCCAGCCCCAGCTCCCCCCGCCCCACACCCCACTTTGCACTCAGGACCTTGTACTGACTCGGCTGACTCGCAGGGTGCCCCCTCCTATAGAGGTACAAAACCCTGCTCCCTTCCCAGCTCAGCCTTCCTGGGGAGTCCACAGGTGGAAAGGTGGGGATTCAGGACCTGGTCCTGTCCGGCCTGACCGCTGGGTACTGGCAGCCGGGGAGCCCACCTCCCTGGGTCTCTGCTCCTCGCTGGATGAAAGCCCCACCCCTGGCTCGCAGGGACTCAGGGTTGAAGGGCAAGGGCTGGGGCTGGGCCTGGGGAGGAGCTGCAGGCGACAGTGTCGGTCCCGGCCTCGGGCTGGGAGGCAGGTCCAGCGGCTCTCACCTGCAGGGCTGGGCTCTACCCACTGGCTCGGCAGCTGGGGGTGAACGTGCCCGGGTGCACACATCTTTTGTCCCAGGGGTGAGGCCTGCTCCTTCCCTGGGACGCACGCATTTCTTGCAGCAGTGCCAAGCGTCACGAAGGTGCTGCCACGTCGCTGCCTCAGCATTTCCCCAAATCCGGGCACCACCCCAGCGGCAGGTCAGGCAGGGGCAGCCCCTGGGCACTGGAGCTCAGAGGACATCCCCGAGGGTCAGGGCCCTGACTCTGCGGCCCCCACGTGGGCACGGTGGGGTGGGGAGGAGGCAGAGCTGCTCTTATTCCTCCCACGTCCCAGCTCTGCTCTCCTCGAGCCCCTCCCTGGATTTTCAAAGGCTTCCCAGGCCCCTTGGACCTGGAGGGCCTCCGGAGATAGCCCAGCCCCTCCAGGAGAAAGTGATTCTGGATGGTTTTGGTGGAGAAAAGGCTCTGCTGCTACAAACAGGTTTGAACGTCATGCTCCTCCCGCAAGTCAGGTCCAGGACCACAGGAAACCACGAGGGTTGTCCCCGACGTGGCCTGGAGAGGCCCTCCAGACGGTACTGCCTCCCACCCCACACAATCTTTGTTGAGGACAGTGATGCCTTTAGAGCACAGAATGTTCTAGCAAAACCAGAAACAAGCAAAGCCACCATCATCATCTCTGGGATGTCCCTTGGCTCTGAATGAGCGAATCAAGAAACAGGAGATGAGAAGTTTCACTCGAATAAACAAGGAACACAGCTCCCCGCCCGGAAATCCCAGCGTCGACTGGAAAGCCAGTCGGGTGGCCTGGGATGGGGACTCAGTCCACAGCCCTCCTGGGGCTCGGGGCAGCGGCCAGCATCCCTCCCGGAGGCAGCCGGCGGGGGCGTCACCCCAACCCATGCCACCACGGGCCCCGCACAGCACGCCCAGGGGACGCGGGCCCCTTCAGCCCGACTCCAACACTCGTGTGAGTGTGGACTGCAGCCGCCAGAGTCACAACTTCAGCAACTGCGACAGCTTTTTTATTTTTCTTTTTACATTTAAACAAAGAAAGAGCAGATTTCTTTTCTTTCTTTATTCTTTTTGGTCTTTAAAGTGACAAAAAGGAGGAAAAGGCGCGCGCTCTTACAGAACAGAGCAGCTTCTTCTCCGCTTACTGTTGAAGCCTGCTTTCCCGGGGTGGCCCTTCGCCTCCTCCACACAGTACTGGTCACTTGTAGCAGCATCTGGGGGACAGGTGGCCTTGCAGGCCGGGTGCCGGGTGCCCAGTGGGCCCCACCATCTGGGATGAACTGGGAGCGGGAGACGGCGGGTGGTGCACAGAGACGCCGCACCCAAGGGCTGAGGAAGAACCCCACACGTGCAATTGGGATTTTCTGAAGCCTGAAGGAGACCAAGCTGAGCCTGTGAGACGCCTGTGTCCGGGACACGGAGGGGGCACAGCCGCCCACACCAGCAGCTGGGTGAGGCTGGGGTGCCAGGCCTGGCTCCCCCATGGGTCCTCAGTGCGCAAGGCAGCAGGCAAGGCTGCAGCAGCAGGCCCACTCCCACCAGGCAGCCACAGCAGCCAGCAAGTCACGAGTTCGGGCTGCCTCTTGAGCCAGGGCAGCCGCAGGCTGAGTGGCAGGCAGAAACAGACTCAGCGGGAAGGGCCACTGGGCGCAGGGCCGTCCCCTCCCTGGACACACTGCCGGTCCCGGGGGCCTCACGTCAGGCCGACCACCATGCCCAGCGGGCTCTGCACGCAGCTGGCCAGAAGGCTGGAGGAGTCCCTGGAGGGAGGCCGGAAGCTCCAGGACAGCACGTGCGCCCTCATCGTCGCTGACCTTGGGAGAAGCAGAAAGAGGCAGAGGCTAACGCAGGGTTGAGTTCAGGGGACCAGCCCCTTGGGGTCTGAGCACCAGGCCAGGGTGCCCCTAGAGGGTCCGAGGCTCACCCGGGACCCCCGGCACCCCCCGGCGCCCGCCGGCCCTCAGTGTCCCTCCTCCCTCAGTGCCCGCAGCCCGGCTGTGCTGGGGGAGAGGGCAGGGCCTTCCCTGCTCGGCAACTCGGACCACAGGACTCGCCCTGAAGTCCCGAGGCCCATGGGCCCAAAACGCAGGGCTGCAGAGAAGCCAGCGGATCTGGCGCCTTGTGGCCTCTGCTGGGGGCTGACGGCCATGCCTGTGCTGAGCTCATGGTGCAGAGAGACCCCCATGCACAACCGTCCAGGGGCCTCATGTGCACTGATGGCCCCGTGGAGACCCAAGCTTGGGGAGGAGCCCCAGGCGCCCTCCACCAGGACACATCCTCACACACAGGGGGTGGTTCCAGGGTGGGAGGGACAGTGAGGCCCTGAGAGGAAAACCCTTTCCCAGTCTGTGCGGGGCCCCAGGCGTCAGCCTTGCTTCCAGCACTCCCCACCTGAGCCCACACAGGCCCCGATGGCCACCCCTGGCAGAGAGAGCTGGCCCGACAGATGGTCCCCTCAGCCCGGAGATCCAGGGCCAACCCTGGGCCCTGAAAAAAGCAGCCCCTCAATTCAACAAACGGAGGGACAGGCACTGTCAGCCTGAGTTCACCAGCCAGCGGGCAGAAAGGGTGGGGACGGGAAAGGGAGCGGAGCCTGCAGAAGCCCAGGGCACGGGGATGATGCCAGCCCCGACACTCCTCTTGCCAGGAGGGGGGTGCCCCATGGGCCCTGCCTGACCACAACCGGGCAGAAGGGGCCTGCCCCATCCCAGCCCTGCTGAGAGGTCCCTGGGGGAACCCACCCCAACCCGGCCCCACTGAGAGATTGCTACCACTTCCAGTGCTGCACTCATGGAAGCCCGAGCTGCCACGGGAGATGCTGCAACCACCCTGAGACCACCATGCTGTGAGGAAGCCCAGCGGCACGCGGGGAGGCCTGGAGGGCACCTGCAGGTGTGTGCTTGTGAGCGTGAGGGTGGATGTGCGAGGGGGAGTGACAGGGCTTCTTTCTTGTCACAATGGGCATTCCTGAGTGACAACATGGTGAACACTTCGAAGACAAGCACCAAGCCAGGATCAGCGCTGCAAAGAAAGGGCTGGTACCACCTGTCATTCTCAACACGGACGGGCCGCAATCAGTCATGTAAACACCAAGTCTCGAGTTAGCCAAACACAGTGTGTGTGTGTGTGTGCGTGTGTGCGTGTGTGTGTGTGCGCGCGTCTGTGAACAGTGGAGATCTCAGCCTCATCTTTATAGAAAAAAGCCGTCACCAATGTCTAAATCGAAAACTCAAGAATCAAGGAGCAGCAGAAATGCAAGGTCTAGAAACATGAAGGTGGATTCTTGTCATCACATCCTACATGTGACCACAGCACTTTTAAAAGCTGAACGTTAGGCCGGCGCGGTGGCTCACGCCTGTATCCAAGCACTTTGGAGGCCAAGGCGGGCGGATCACCTGAGGTCGGGAGTTCAAGACCAGCCTGACCAACATGGTGAAACCCCGTCTTTAAAAAATAAAATAAAATAAAAGTTGAACGTCCCAGTAAGATGGATGCACACAGACGTCACAGTGAGATGGACGCACACAGATTAAAGAGAAGCTGCGTTTTGAACCATCTCCCTTCTTATCCGAGGGGCTGCAGGAAGCTGAGGGTCTCCATAGAGAATCCGGCACAGCCCTGAGCAGTGGTGGCCCAGGCTCTGCCCACACTGGCCCCCAGGCAGCCCCTCCGCTCAGGTGTGGGGACACCCAGGACCCACCGTGTGCCTTCCCCCAGGGAGCAGGCGCAGCGCCTCCCCAGGCCTTCCAGCACAAGGCCACACCCGGCCCAAAGAAGACCGTGGGCAGGAGGGGTGAGAAGACCCCAGAACGTGTCTTCCCAGCTGCCCTCAGCCGAGCTCAGTGCAGTGATGCCAGCGCCCCAGAGCTGTAGTGCTTTGGGGCACGTGGTGGCACCAGGCAGTGGGGAGGGAAGGGGTGCGTGTCTGCCCTCTGTCTGAATGGGTCACGATCCTGAAGGTCAGAAGGGGCCGCCAGCGGTGATCACAGCACAGACACACAAACAGGCTCAGCCCCTCAGTGCCCCAGGCTTGGGGAGGTGACCTGACCCCATACAGAAGCCTGACTTTGGGGTACACAGGAGGACCCCCATTTCCTGACCTTTGTCATCCCAGTTGCCCTCGGGGGCTCCATCACAGACTCCTCACCCAGAGCAGCCCTCATCCCAGGAAGCGCCCCCAGCGTCCGGGGAAGCCGGCCGGAAGCTCTGGAGTGTCAGACAACACGAGTTCTCAGCTGTCTCCAGAAGGGCCCACAACACGCTGCAGCATGTGGAGGGCACTGGACCCTTGCCACACACACACACCAGAAAGACCTCGCTGGGCCCCGGCTTAGGAGGCCCTCCCACCCCAGGAGAGCTGTCCACCCAGTCCCGGGCACAGGGGAGCGGGGTGCGTGAGAGGCCCTGCCAATGAGTGCTGCAGCCGCCCCTCACAGGGCACGGCCTCCGGGCTTCTTGGGAAGGAACCAGCAACACTCGTGAGTGCCTGCAGTCGTGGGGGTGCCCGGTGCCCACCTCTCATGCTCAGGGGCTCTGTGGCTCGGCAAAACATGCCACTCCAGGAAAGGAAAGGTCATGTGTGTATTTGCTGGTGGCCTGCTTTCCTGGGACACCCGCCGAGTAACACCCCCAGGTGGCAGCCCTTGGGGACCCGGTTGTTGAAGACATGGGGCTGTTCTTCCTCTGCAGATGCTCCCAGGACAGGGGTGGACACGTGGCCCCACAGCAGCACTGCCTGGACGGCTGCCGAGACCCTCCCATGCCCCGGCTGCAGCAGGGGTGGTGGGGGTGCTTGGGTGGGAGACACAGGGGTCTGCCTGAAAGTGGGGCCACCTGCCCTTGAAAGCCCGGTGAGCAGAGGGAAGCCCCAGACCTGGCCCCACAGAGAGGCTGAGGATGGCATGAGGGCAGCAGTGCCCACAGCCCGGGTGGTCAGGACAGGGAGCCTCAGGGAATGAATGCCAGGCGGGTGCGGCCACATGTCTGGGCCCCGCGCGCCTGTGATGTGGCACCACGGGGAGCTCCTTCTCTCAAAAGGTCGAGGAGCAGGGCCTGGGCCTGAGGCGGGGACCCCACAAGGCCCGGCGCCCTGCTGGCTGGGTGCAGTGCCCCGAGGTGGCCGGGTCTCCTCCACCAAGGACCGTCATCAAACAGTACCTCCCCTGGCCCTGGCCCAGCCGCCTGGCCCCAGCCCTGATCACACTCCCTGCAGAGAGGTCAGGCTGCGTCCATAGCTGGCCAGGCAAGGGCAGAGCTGGAGCAGATGCTGCACCCACACAGCGTGGGGCAGAGGTTCCTGCCTGACCGGGCAGCCACTGCATTCCTCGCCTGATGGAGACACCGCCTGAGGGCCCCAGAGACGTCCGCAGGGTGGGCTCGGCCGGAGTCCAGGAGCCTGGGAGGTGTGGGGTCCAGCACCCTGGGGGTGAGAGCTGCAGTTTTCTCGCCGAGACAGTAAGAGGAGGCACATGGAGTCCTGCCTGGGCTGCGGGCACCCCGCCTGGCCGAGAGCGTTCTTGACCAACAGCGCCCAGTACCCAGCTCACCTGATCTCTGCGGTGCTGGGGGGCTCCTGGGGACACAGTGGCCAGCAGGACCCTCCTGTGCCCAGGCTTGGCTGTCACCAACAGCCACGGCACCCACAGCTCAGCCTTGGTGCCTCCACAGCAGTTGGGGACCAGGGGCGTCCCACACACAATTTTCACTTTGACAAGCACCCAAGTGCTGTTCCTCACTGCCCCCAGACCGGGCCCTAGCCTGGGGGTGCCAGACCCAACGCAAGGCCAGTCAGCAGCTGCACTGTGAGGGCAGACCTGACCCCCCATGCTAGTGTCGCAGAGGCTGGAACAGAGGCCCAGAGACCAGGGGCTCAGAACACAGGTGTCTGCTCTCCAGCTCCAGTGGCTGGAGGTCTGAGAGCAAGGTGCAGGCAGGGCTGCGCCCTCAGGAAGCCGAGGGAGGGCCCTTCCCCCCTTCCAGTAGCTCCTGGTTTGGCTTTCCCGGGCTCATGAAGGCGTCCCTGCGAGCACCGCCTCTGTCTCCACAAGGCTGTCTCTGTGCATCTCTGAGTGTGCCCAAATCTCCCTCTTATCATGAGGGCACCAATCATTAGATTTAGGACTCACCCTCATCCAGTACGGCCTCATCATAACTGGATTCCAACTGCAGAAATCCCCCTTCCAAGTAAGTCCGGTTCACAGGGACTAGGGCGGACCTGAATACGTCTTTTGGGGGACATGATTCAACCTACCATTCCACCCCAAGATGGCACAACGGGGGTCGGAGGGCAGTCCCGCCCCAGGGCCCAGGACGGCACCGTGCACTCTGGCACCGGCAGCAGGGGTGTCTGTTTAAGTTGTGTGCGCAGGAGTGGTGTGTGTGCAGGCGGGCAGATACCGCAGTGCATGTGCATACATGGGAGACCTCAGGCGTGAATAAGCAGGTGCAGATATGGGTCTGAGTACGGGGTATGGGGACAAGTTCACGTGTGTGCATGTGTGTGTGCGTGTGCACCTGTGGGGAGCCTAAGCAACAGCCAGCGAAAGGCCAGGATCCCACAGAAGTGCAGGACTTTGAGGCTTCGGAGTCTGAGAGACGAGTGAAAATCGGAGAGCTCACCACTGAGACACCACGTGCCGGTGAGGGGTGGCAGAAAAGGGCCCTGCCTCTGGAAGACAGCCTGTGGTGCACGCAGCATTCGCGGGGTCCGTCAAGTGCACGGGCCCCACAGTCCCGCAGCGTCCACGAGGCTCTCAGAGGCCCGGCTGACGCGGCCCCAGCCCAACACCACCGACAGCTGCCAGGGCACTGACAG